GAGTTTCTTCCTGGGGGAGCACTAGGAATAAAATTACCTAAGTCATGATCTTCTTCAACTTTACAACCTCTGGCCAAACAACAGCGAATTGCATCAGCACCACCTTCAGAAACTGGAGGACAGTTCCAGTTGTCTCATAGATCAGATGTCATCAGTAAGGATGTTACCAGTCTTAGCTATTGCTGCCATGCCTCTGACTGTACAATTGCTGCTTTTACTTTTAACTTTTATTGATCAAATGTGTAGCCATTCTTCTACTTAAATTATATTATTATTATTACTATTATATTTTTTCTGGACAATTCTTTATTCACTATATTTGTCTCTATATTGCTCCCTGCCCTCTCCCTCTTTCTTTCCTTTCTCTGCCTCACTCCATCTTATTCTGTCCCTCTGTGCCTGTCTGCATCCCTCCCACCCTCCATTATTCCTACCTTCCCTTCTTTTATCCTTGTTTTTGATACAGGATTTAAGTATATATTCCTGGATAGCCTGGAACTTACTATGTAGAGTAGGCTGAACTCCAAATCAGAGATATTTTCCTGCCTCCACCTCCCAGGTGCTAGTATTTAAGGCCCGTGCCATCACAACTTGAAATTTCTGTGTACATTATAAACACCAAACTTAGAGTTTTATTATATTTTTAGTCTTTCTGGGTGGACTACTGAAATTCTATTTCTTCTTGTATCTTTCTTTTCTCTGGGATAGTATACCATCAGTGAACTCTAGGATGTTTATAGTGTGGATCTATATTGATGAATTATTTCAGATTTTGTCTGAGGATATCCTTGTTATGCCTTTGATTTAAAATATCTTTAGGGATCTTGAGAGATGGCGCCGTGATTTAGAGTACTGTGTACTCTTCTAAAGGTCCAAGATTCAATTACTAGCACCCATATGAAAACTCACAACTGATGGGGGGTATCTTTCTGTATATGTGTTTCTCTTATTAGTTGATGAAGAAAACACTCTCTGTCCAATAGTGGCAGGAAGATAGGCAGGACTAAGATATGGGTAGAATTTTGGAAAACATAGTCAGGATAGCAGCTAGGGAACACAATGCAGAAACAAGGAGGATGGGATAAGCCAGGCCACATAGAAATACTTATTTTAATAGTTATGGGTTTATGATTAAAACAGAGTCAATAAGAAGACCTAATCATCAACCAACAGATTAATAACTAATATGTCTCTGTGTGCTTAATTGAGGCTAAAGTGTGGCTGTGGGACCTGGTTAAACAAGAAAACTCCAGCAACACACAACTGTTTGGATTCCAGTTCCCTAGTACCTAAAATCGATGGAGAAACACCAATGGACATAATATAAAAACAAATTAAACTTTAAAATCTTTAAAGAGTAATGGATATCTTTAACTTTGAGCATGTATAGAGTACAGTGTTACAGCTCAATACATGTGTCTAGCAAACAGTGGTCAGACCGTGACTACTGCCAGAACCATCACTTATGTTATTGTAAGTTTGTGTTGGGGACATTGAAAATGATCCTGACTATCTATTTGGAACAAATAATCATTCGTAACCAGCCATAGTCATCATAGTAAAGGTAAAACATTAATTTTTCTTTCTTTTCTTTTTGGTTTTATGAGACAGGGTTTCTCTGTTTTGGAGGCTGTCGGTCCAGCCTGGCGTCGAACTCACAGAGATCCACCTGCCTCTGCCTACCGATTGCTGGGATTAAAGTCATGTGCCATCAATGCCCGGCCCTTAATTTTTCTTTCTATCCAGTTGATAGATATCTAGAAGTTGATAATGTATGATTTGTGAGTCAGCTTACAAAGAGAATGCAGAAAAAGGTTATAGTCTGACCTTCAGCAGAAAGGACTGATTTTATCAGACTACACAGTCAGGGGAAGCCTCTCTCTCCCAGGAAACGGAGGGGCCTACCAGGGTAAAATCTGGCTGTGACCTTTTATAGGAGTGTGTTCGGGAGGAGCATGGGAATGAGGGAACTCTTTCATCCATGGCTCATGTTCCTCTCTTGTATATTCCCCTTAATGAAATCACTTGCTCAGGTGAGACAAATTATCTCAGGAGACAGACTGGCTGATGCGAGAGACATTTGTATCTTGCCTGACCAATAATTGCTGAGCAAGATCACCTGTAATTTCATAGGAATCTTGTTTTATACTCAAGGCATGCTGTCATTCCAAACCCTGATATTCAGAGAAAAAGACAGGGAGCAGGAGCCTCAAAAGAGGTGAGGAACAGTGACATCAACACTTTCTTATTTGCTTCGAGTTGAGGAGGGTCACTGTTAGAGGAAGTTAGTTATTCCCAGGTCTTTTGAAGAGGGAGACCTCTGGTCATTTAGCATCAGGGTTATTTGAACAGGATCAGCAGCAGCATACCAAGGGATTGCTGACATGCAATCCTGGAGAGACTTTTGAAAAGTAGTCATTAAGAGCAAAAAAAAACAACAGATGATTTGACTACAGATTAAAACTGAGCTACTTACTAAAAAGGTATAGGGAAGGAGAGAAGTAAGGACATGACAGACAGTGTGTCAGTGAAAGGAAGTAGGTATAGACTTGATCCAGGTTGACAGTGCCTAGTCCCACTGCGAGGAGAGCTGCTCCATAGTGAGCTAGCACAAGCAACAGGGAACAGCAGAGATTCAAAACAAGAGGGCAGGAAAAAACAGGACAGCATCTAAAAGGTCTTTCTGCAGTTGTATCAGGAACAAATGGAGATGTAGTAGAATGGCAGCCATTGGCAGAGCTTATACAATAGTTTGTTAGTTATAGATGAAGAAGTAAAACATTAAGACACAAGGAAAACAAAAGTAAGGAAATAATGTGGAAAGAATTGATCAAGGACAGGAGTGAGAAAAGGAGAGAACTGTAAATCTCCCCTAGGAGGAAGCTTGTGGTTTTTGTCTGTTCCCTGTGACTTTGGGCCTCATATAAATCCCAACATTTCTTGGCATGGAAACAGCACCATTTGTGAATAAGGGCACAAATCCCATCTTAAACTATATTCTGATCTAGTCTTGGAGTATTTAAGCAGCAATATTTAAAATCATTATGAGGCTTACCTTACAGGTATAGCATTTGCCTTGAATCCAACAGATACCATATCTTTTTGTTTCCAAGATCCTTAATTCTTTGGGGTATAGGTTTTCATGTAGCAAATCTAAGTTTATTAGTGAAGATTCTCTAGAAGAACAGAACTTATAGAATGAATCCCCCCTCCCTGTCTTTGATACATAGGTAAATATGGGGGATTTATTAGATTACTGTGCAAGCTGTGGTTCGGCTAATCCAAAAATTGTTGCCTCTGAACAGAAGCTTCAAAAATCCAGTAGGTTATCAGTCCACAAGGCTGGATGTCTCAGATCGTCTTCATTATATTCCAGAAAACCTACAAAGTAGGTTTTAATATTAGTAAAGGATTGAACTTGCTAAAAGAGAGACACCAATCAGAGTCAATTTCTTTATTCCCTGTTTTTTATATCCATTGCTAGCAGAACCTGTTTTCCAGATAAAAAGAGTGTCTGCACACCTCTAAGATCCAGACTAGAATTGAATTTCCAATAAAAATTATTAAATTAAGAACAATATCCCTCATGGGTGTACCTCCCAATTTGGGTTTTACTTAATTCTACATGTTTGATGTATTCAAGTTGAAAACCAAGAGTATCCCTCATACTAAATAGTATGACCTTAACCCGCTGGTCATCTGCCTAACTCCATCCACAGTGGTGATACTGCAGGAGTAAACTAGTGTTCCCAGTGTTGTGTGGATATGGTAATCTGACTCAGGGCATTAGGATGCTATGCAATCACTCTAGTAACTTAGGCACATCCCAGAATTTTGTAGGGGAGGGAGAAGCTGAGGACTCTCCTGTGTAACTGAATCATCTTAAATCAGTATATGAACCCGGTTTGTGGGAAAATCCTGTCTGCCTCCCTGAACCTGACTCTGATATGAAGATGCAGAGGAATTTGCCCTTCCAACTGATACAATTTTAAACAGGCAGCTATGGTTACCTAGGTCCAATAACATTACCATTTTTGCTGTTTGAGATTATAATCTAATTACAACACTGCTTCCCTCACTTTCTGCCTTCTGAAACCTCCCGTAGACTCCTCCATGTCCACCAAGTCCACCAAGTACTGCCTGCCTATATGAATATGCATATGCATTCCTAAGCATAATCAGAAAAGTCTGTCTAATGCTACCTATATTGAGGTGGGCTGAAAGGAAATGGCACTCATAAATTCATTGGGAGAGGTATTATTAGATATGTAGCCTTGATGGAGTAGGTGTGGCCTTGTGAGGAAGTATGTCATTAGAGGTGTGGGCTTTGTGGTTTCAGAACCCCAAGCGTTGCTTAGTGTCTACCTCTCCAGTACCATGTCTGCCTGCATGCCACCATGCTTCCTACTATGATAAAGGGCTAAACCTCTCTGAACTATAAGCCAGCCCCAGTTGAACGATTTCCCTCATAAGGGTTGCCATGGTCATGGTGTGTCTTCACAACACTAAAATCCTAGCTAAGTTATACATGTATGTTTTCACAGCTGACAGTTTAGGAGAATCTAGAAACAGTAATTTGGTAAACAATCATAATCCCTAACAACATTTTATAAACATTTTCCCATAAAGCCACAGCTAGGTGTAGTCTTCCTCTCAAAGGAAACGTCTCTTGCAACAGGGAGGAGCCACTACAGAAAACAACAGGTGGTCAAAATTTAGAATTGAGGAGTCCATACCAATGGATGCATCCAAAAAACTCTCACTAATAATGTTTAGGTAACATTTCTGAAGAGAGGATGGGAAATCTATTGTAAGATCGAGGAGATCCGTGAGTGTGCTATGAGATTGTGTCACCTTGTAGTTTGGGAAAGTATACACATGGAGTCCCACAAACTGGATTCCACCAATTTGCCCTGAATAAGGGTAACAGCAGGGAACATGGAGTATATGTAGTTAGCAGGCATCACAATGACATGGGTAAACAGGAAGATTTGGTTTATTAATAAAGAACAATGGAAATACAGTATGCCAAACATCATCTTATTGCTATGTGATACAATAAAATAGCAGACTTGGCTACACTCTTATCAAATGAAGACAGAGCTTACAACCAAACAGTTAACAACCAGGTCTCAGGTCAGTCAGGTCTCAAGGTAAGGACTTTGGCTTCAGTCATCTTCAGGCATGTGTAGCACCTGTTTTCTAAGTATCCTGGGATGTAAACTCCTATTTATCCAAAACTAGCTTCAAAGGAGATCAGGGCTACACTGCTGTGTTTACTTTAGTAAGTCTGTACACATTATATACTGAGAAGCTATCCATGGGAAGTTAAGAGGGGAAAGACAATGTCATAAATAACTTCAATTAATTTTGATGCTGGCAAGCCTTGGATCATAATGTACTTGATTGTACTCATGCATTCACAAGACACATTGACTATGACATAAAACTGAGATCAATGACTTAGGACACGAGGGAAGAACATCCAAGTTTCTAGTCTGACAATATGATTACAACTGTCAGATATTGGCAGGTCAGTGGTGATCATGTTTTGACAGAGGCACAGTTAGAAATGCAAAATTGCCTTCTGATAGGACAAGACAATTGTGCTCCCATTACACTTCAAGTCAAGTTAGTCTCTAAGGTGTGCATCTCCTGAACAATCTTTGTTTTCAATATATCACACATTGTATGAATTTGTGTGTTGCAAATCCAAACCATAGACTTTCATTTCTCAGTATCCAGAAGCAATCTTTTCCTATTTATTGCCAGCACTGACAAAGTTTGGCCTCCATGTCATAAACACAACGCATACTGCATTCAAGGCAGATGATTGTAGCAAAAGCTATTGTCTTGGTCTGCCTTTTGGCAAAAAGTATATCCAGGAATTCGGAGCATAATTGGGCAAATTCCTCCACCAGGACAAAACCCATGGGGTCATAGCACTCTAGAGGGGCGGGATAGAATTCTTCAGTCATTTTTCTTAGATTGGCCATGCTTTGCAGGAGTTTCTTCAGTACAGCAGTGGAGAAGTCGTTGTCATAGAAATTCACAGTGGTGAGCTGTGAGCACAGGCTCAGGGCAGGCAAGAGGGCACTGAGCTCATAGTCCTCCATCCTGCAGTTCACTAACTCCAGGGTCTTCAATGTGTCTGCTGTATTCTCAAGTAGAACCCGAAGATGTGTGACACCCAACCTGGCAAACACTACACCAGTGAGATTCAGTTTATTCAGTTGACAGAGCCCCTGACACTGAGAAAAGTGTTTCAAGTTTGACTGGGACAAATGGCAGTGACTTATGTTCAAGGACTCTAACGGGGTCTTCAGGCATCTAAGTAAAGAAAAGGAAATCAGTTCATGTTGTTAGAGGGCACTAAAATGTTTGACACTGAGACAGAAGAGAGGACATATGCAAAGTCAGTCTAACCTAATATTGAAGTTCTGCACTTGGGATACAACCTGCCGGTGCCTGCTCATATTATTGTCGCCAGAGGCATATTCTTAAGCTGGGGTGGTCTCAGAGCCCCACATCTCCAACTCCCCATCCTCATTCTGTCAAGCAGATCTAGAGTTTGCCACAGCTTGACAGGAGCTCATACCCAGAGGACCATCACAGAAAGATTCTCGCAGCATATTGTCATTTGTCCTGCATAGATCCTTTTGTGGTCCTTCCCACCAGTCACAGCCTCTATTCCTGATTTCAGTGCTCAACACTTGAAACTGAGAATTCCTAACTCCAGCATCAATCATTTTACATCTACCAACCTATGCTCACATTATCCTTCTCTCCATTGTGACTTAGAGGATGAGTCAGGCTCCACCAGAAGAACAAGGTCCCTATTCACAGATCTGAGTACAGAGTTCCTCAGGTTCCTATGGAGATGTCGTAATCCTCAGCTCAGGAATTGCTACTCTGGCCTGTGCCCTTCCCATTAGCATAGCCAGAAACTCAAGAAGGAATGAACAGAGCACACAGAGTGTTTCTGACCCACCCAGTGCAGCTGCTTTCAATTCAGCTCTCTAAACATCTCCTATTCCACCCTGACTGCTAAATGAATGGTCAGTGGACCAAGAGACCTCACTTAAGAAGAATATATGTCCACACTTGGATACTGTGAAGAATCCATCACTGTTAAATCTACAGTTGCAGGAACACCCCCAGGGCCCAATAATGCTTGAAATAAAGGGAAAAGTGTCACGGAAACATTAGAAGCAGCTCTCCATCTTTCCTTACCCAAACAACAGCTGTGTGTGGTCAGGGGAAAGGGAGACAACATCCATAGTCAGATGCTTAAGTGAGTTGAGTTTGCAGATTTGAGAGAGAAATTGGACAGCACACATCTCCTCTGGGTCTGCCAAGGTATTTACAACTGTGTTTCTGTTCACGAAAATGTGAGTTAGACGGCATTTGCGAAGTCTTGTCATACGGCCAAGGTGAGGTGCGATGTGACCCAGGAAGGACATAACCTGGTTAGTGGATAGCTCCAATTCCTCGATATTTTCTGGCAGGAAAATATCCAATACTTCCTTGAGAGTCTCCCCAGGGAAGTCACAAATCTTCATCTTCACACAGCACAGCTGCACAGAGTCTTTCCTCTGCTGGAACCACTGCAACAAGCATGTTTGGTGTTCTTTCAAATGGAACCTGAGGATAAGGTCAGTGACTACCTTCAAATCCCGCCTCAGCTCATTGCATACTTGTGTATTACATTCAGTCTCTGTAGAGCTGTACCAGTCTCTGCAAGACCATACATCCCAGAAATCCTTGTTCATATTCCTCAAGTCAAGAACTTTAAGCCTCCAACATCTGTGAGGAAAAAGTTACAATTTCATAATGTAAACCATGATGCCCTGTGAGACAGCCTCTGTCCAGCTTCACTATTGTCAGCTCCAACATACCTCTCTCCCCTGCCAGGCAAGGAACCTTAGCCTGAACTTCATCTGGAGATGTTTCCTGCTTCCCTCCATTCAATAATTCTAGACATATGTCTCTTCCACATAAAGATTAGGAAATCTGGGCATTGGTGACTCTTGCCTTTAAACCTAGCACTAGGGAGAAACAGGTAGGCTAATCTCTGTGAGTTTGAGAATAGCTTGGTATATAAGACCTAGTACCATGACAGCCTCCAAAGCCAAAGAGAAACAAATTCTCTAAAAACAAACTAAGATTTCAAAAATTGACAAAGCGGCAAAAAACTAAAAATACCCTCCAAATTTAAAGTGTCTGTAGGAGAGCCAGAATTATCTCATTACTGTGTGGCTTCATCTACTCTGAGCTCTCCGCCACTCCTGTCATTGCATGAACTATCAACATGAGTAGAAGCTCGAAAGACCTACAAGTGGATGGCACCAGAAGACTCTGTCCACTATGATCACATTCTCCCTGTCTTTTCATGTATCTTACCTATAGCTCAGCAACTCCCCTTTGGTATACTTGGACCTTGCTTACCTGGGACGAACCTGCTGTGTCTGCAGAATATCTACACCATCCAGAACAGCTTGCAACAACTCCACATCTGGAGTCTTCATCAGGGTCCCCACAGGAAGGTAGGAAAACGGCCAAGCAGCCACCATTGCCTTCAATAGCTCCATGTGTCTACCAGTGAAGGCCTCCTTGAACACTGATGGGAAGAGATTAATGGGCAGGTACTCCAGAGTAGAGATGGTTGAGGCCTCATTCCACAGCAAGCTCTGTACTGCCAGCTCTTGGAGTGTGGTTGGGTTGTAAATGCTCATTCTGATAGATCTTCAGTCAGAAGCAACCTGGTGAAGCAATAGGTAGACATTATTTTGGAATTCCCACTTCTCAGTTTTGCAGGAACCAGAGGGTCAGAGTCCTAGATCTGGCAATAATGGAGAACTGAGTGTGCCTCAATATGTACCATCTGAAGGTGTAAAAACAAAACTTCCATCACTCACAGTGTGTGGAATATCTTTTTTTTCATTTTACGAGACAGAATTTCTATCTATAATTTTGGAGGTTGTCCTGGAACTTGCTCTGTAGACCAGGCTGTCTTAAAATTCACATAGGTATGCCTGCCTCTGCCTTTGGAGTTCTGGGATTAAAGGTGTGTGCCACCAACACCCAGCGGTGGGGAGTTTCTTAAATCCCCCACACAGACACAAATCAATCATTATCCCATCAGGTACCTACACCTGCTCTTTTTGGAAGTATTCAGTAGCATATATACTGGCCAGACCCTTGTTGCAGGAAAAGACACTGACCATGTCTCCAGTTGCTTAACATAATACATTGCTGATATCACACACCCAACCCTCCCTTATTGTATGTTCACCAATCTGATGTCTCATAGGAAGGAGTTAGGGGAATTCGTGAATTGCCTGTTAATACATGTTACTTCTCAAATGAGAATCTTAGATGAGAAGCCAAGTGTATAGATGTTACAAGGACAAAGATTTTCCTGTGATTCATTGTGGTCTAGAGGAAGAAAGGGGATGAGTAAAGATAATTTACAAATATTTTAAAGATTGTTTAACACTTTAAATTTGTACTAAATTATAAGAGGATACTAACTCCAATTGCATAATGAGTCTAGAATCCTGGAGAAATTCAATGGCTCTGTATTTCAAGATTACCCTTGCCTATTTTGACTCTGTCTTCAAAAGCTCAAATGAACCAAATAAACTAATGTGAGAATTCCTATGATTGCTCATTACTCGTTAAAACAAATCTACACCTGATGTAAAATATTAAAATGTGTCATTTTAATTTTTAAGCCATTATTTGGAAATGTAGCTTAGTTTGTAAAAAGGCTAGACCAGTATGTACTAAGACTTCCAATGGACGTGAGTTACTTACCTGATATGGATAATTGTTTAGAGCTCCTATTGCCAGCAGGGCCAAGAAGAGTCTCAAGGCTCAAGACTCCTTAGCACAGTCAATCAGTGACTCCAGACTCCAGTATTATGAGATCCTCCATGGCCCCTCTTACCATTTTATATACCTTCCAACTGGCTCCTCCCCATGAAACCCCACCCCTCTAATGACAACTCCTAGGTCTCCACCTCCTTAATCCTGTTAATGATTGATTTATTTTATTCTACAGCAGATTGATTGAATCTGAACAATCCGTGGAAACCAAAAACACTAAAATCAAAACTCAATATTCCATCTCTGGATATATTGACTTATTTTATGTTAATTTTCATGCGTGTGATTTTAGTGTCTATTTGTGTGTTTTATTGTGTGTGGGTATTTGAGTAAGTATTGAGATTTATGGTAGCCAAAGTGTAAAAAATTAGCTATTGTCTCAATACAACAAAGCAAACACAAAACACACCCCATGAATATGAGTAGATGAGAAACAGCTGAGATGGGTGTCAGGAACCTGGAGTACTCCCTAGCAAGTAATTTAGAATTATCAAGAGTAAGATGGAGCCGGGCGGTGGTGGCACACGTCTTTAATCCCAGCAATTGGGAGGCAGAGGCAGGCGGATCTCAGTGAATTCGAGGCTGGGCAGGACTGAGAGCCTCCAAAACAATACAGAGAAACCCTGTCTTATAAAAATAACAACAAAAAAGAGTAAGATGGACACTTTATCTCAAAATGAAAATCAACATGAAAGCATGATGGGATGGAAATCAAACAAACACTAAATTTTATTAATAACCCTGTGTCATCCTGCATGGAGTGCATACTCTTATTCGTCTTAGCATTCTAGAAGCTAAGGCAGGCGAATATCTGTGAGTTTCAGGCCAAGCTTCACCATATAGTGAGAAAGTGTTCAACAACATCAGGTTCCAGACAGAAAACCGTAGTGCTTTTCTTGAAGAAAACATTATAAACCAGGTGCCTCAAATGGTTTTTTCCCCCTGAAATGGTCTTTTAGAACAAATCCCTTGCACAGCAATCCCTAGAAGGCTCCATTTAAGGTACTTGCTCCTGTGAAGATTAAATTTGATATTTGCGACCCAGGAGAATAGACTCCTGAAGGTTTCCTCTGAACTCCACATGGGCACCATGGCAAATGTCTCCCAAACTATAATTTATTGAAAAAATATGTGCTGATATATTATTAATGATTAATAGTGATTGCCTGAAGAATCAAAATTCAAAGCAAGCCATAATAGTTACTTGTAAATGCTGGGCAGAGTTGGCACACACTTCTAATCCATAGACTCGGGTGACAAAGGATCTCTGTGAGTCAAAAGCCACCCAAGTCTGCACAAGTGTGAATCAATATGAAAGAGAAACCTCATACAAAGGTGATCTCAGCACTAGGGATCATGCTCGTTTAATCTCAGCAGTGAGTAGACACCCAAAACAAAAACTCGCAGGTGTAGATTTAGTCTCAAGCCACTTGGATGAGAACAGCAGTCTGAGGTGTGGGGGAGAGATCCTGGAGACAGGATCAGCCTTCAGCCTGAGGTAGAAAAAGAGCTAGTGGCTTGGCTATTATGCCTCTCTGATCTTCAGTTTTCAGCCTGAACCCCAGTATCTGTCTCTGGGTATTTTATTAATTTGTGTTACATTTTTAAAATTTCCTTTCCTAACAGCAGGGTACCACTGAGCTTAGACTGATCTATATGACATCTACTGGGCAGGTGTGCAGGACTGCCACCTCTGCAGTCAGTGAGAGAGGGATGTAGTATCAGGCATTTTATGTCACCCTTGCCTACCAATAGCTTCTAACCCAGTGTGAAAAGCACCAGGTTCTCTAGCAACAAAAGTAAGGAAGGAATAGAGGGAAGGAAGGACCAATTGTTACATCAACACTCCTTGGGAGAAATCTCAGGAAAAATGATTCAATTAGAACTCAAATAGTGCTGAGAATGTTGGTACACATGTTTAATCCCAGCCTTAAATCTCACCTCTGGAGAGGAAGAGGCAGGCAAATCTGTGAGTTCAAGGTCAGCCTCATCTACAAAGTGAGTTTCAGGAGAGCCAAAGTTACATCTCAAAACACCAAAAATGGGAAAAAACCTGCCAGACAGGATGGAAGTAAACACCCTTTAGTCTTTCAGGAACCTTGCCCCAAAGACCACCAGGAATACAAAGTTAGCTACAAAATGCAAAATGATTTTTGTAAGCCGGTACACCAGGTTTGTGATGTATCTAACCCGCAGCAAAAATTTCAGCAAGTTTATAAAGCCTAAAACCGCTAATTGGTTGGTGGGCATACAAGTGGTGTTTGGTAATTGGTGCCAGACCTTCATTCAAACATGCACGCTTGTGGTTGACTGACTTGTTATGTGTGTTAGGTAATGGTTGTGCCTGTCTGAACTTTGTGACCAGCCTGGAACCTTGAGGCCTGTGGAATGTTCCAAAGTCTTTGAGAATTGATGTCTGGGAAATATTCTCAACTCCGTGAGGACCACCATGGGAAGACGTTTAAGTGTAGTTGTTCATGTCTAAGGACAGGACAGCTTAGTGATATTTCAACAGTTGGGGCAGTGATTCTTCAGAAGGAATGAACGAAGAAAAGAGGGGCAGAGGGAGGGAGGGAGGGATGGAGGTAGGGAAGGAAGAAAAACAAAGAAAGAGACAGAGACAGAGAGACAGAGAGTTTGGCATGTGTTCTACACACACCTCTATAAGTATATCCTGCTAAGCTGATATTGTGTTGCTCATACACACCAGTTTAGGGAAGATCACCGCATGGATAAGCAATCAGAGAGCTAGTCCCAGAATACTGATTCTCCCTTTTATAGCAACCCCTTTATTTATTTTATTTTTAAATTTAATTTAGAAACATGGTTGCTTCACATTATCAATCGCATGTCCCTCTCACTTTCCTTCCCCTCCTCCCATGCCCTCTCACCAACCCATCACCCCATCCCCCAACCTCCACTCCTTTCCCCAGTGAGGATGTGGCCCTCCATAAGGGGTGTCCATAGTCTGTCATTTCATCCAAGGCAGGTCTTAGACTGTCCCACAAGGTTCCAGGATTAGAGTGCATTTCTCATTGTGGGATGGGTACCCAAAATCCATTTGTAAAAGGTGAAAGATTTATACGATCTGAAAGGAAACGAGAGTATCCCAAAATCCATTTGTAAGCCAAGGATAAATACTGATCTACTACCCAAGGTCCCATAGATTTCCTAGGACTCCTCACTGACATCCACATTCAGGGTGTCTTGATCAGTCTCATGCTGGATTCCCAGCCAACATTCTGGGGTTCAAGAGCTCACCTTTTGTTAGGTCAGCTGTTTCTGTTGTTAAAGAAGCCTAGTTTTGACCTCTATGTTCATCAGTCCTCCCTCTCTGTGTCTGGTTTCCTTGAGTTCAGATCAGTGTTTAGTTGTGGCTATCTACCTCTGCTTCCATCAGTCACTGGGTGAAGGTTCTGTATCCCAGACTGTCTGGCGGGGGGATTGCATGCTGGAACTCCCCTGGGTCCATGTCTAAAATCCATACATGAGTGAGTACATAAAATATTTCTCTTTTGTGACTGGGTTACCTCACTCAAGATGGTTTCTCCAGTGACGTACATTTGTCTGCAAATTTCAGGATTCAATTTTTTATGTTGAGTATTACTCTATTGTATAAATGCACCACATTTTCTCTATCTACCCTTCAGTTGCGGGGCATCCCTGATTGCTAGGGATGTTGAGCACGTTTCTAATTGTCTCTTAGCTATTTTCATATCCTCTAATGAGAATTCTCTATTTTGTTCAGTACACCACTTTTTAATTGGATCCATCGGTGCTTTGGAGACCTGCTTCTTTAGTTCTTTGTAGATTTTGGTGATCAGCCCTCAGTCAGATATGGGGTTAAGTAATATCTTTTCTCATTCTGTGGGCTGCCTTTTTGTTTCATTAACTATGTCCTTTTGCTTTTCAGAAGCTTCTCAACTTCATCAGGACCTATATATTAATTGTGGACCTCAGTGTCTGTGCTACTGGTGGTATGTTCAGGAAGCAATCATCTGTATCAGTTCAAGGTTAACTCCCACTTTCTCTTCTAACAGGTTCAGTGTGACTGAATTTATGTTGAGGTCTTTAATCCATTTGTACTTGAGTTGTGTGCATTGCAATAGACATGGATCTATCTGCAGTTGTCTACATGCCAGTATCCAGTTATGCCAGCACCATTTATTGAAGATGTCTTCTTTTTTCCATTGTATAATTTTAGCTTGTTTGCTAAAATCCAAGTGTTCATATGTGTGTTGGCTAACATCAATATTATGTATTCGATTCCATTCGTCTACCTGTGTATTTTTGTGCCAATACCAAGATATTTTCAGGACTATAGCTCTATAATAGTGCTTGAAGTCAGGAATGGTGATGCCTCTGGACGTTGCCTTGTCAAACAGGGTTGTTTTGGCTATCCTGAGTCTTTTGTTTTTACAAATAAATTTGAGAATTGTTCTTTCAAGGTGTGTGAAGAATTGTGCTGGGATTTCAATGGGGATTTCATTGAATGTGTAGATTACTTTTGGCAAGATTGCCATTTTTACTACCTAACCAAGATCATGGGTGGCCTTTCCATTTTCTGGTATCTTCTTTAATTTCTTTCTTTAAAGACCCAAAGTTCTTGTGATACTGGTCTTTCCCTTGTTTAGTTAGGGTTACCACAAGGTATTTTATGTATTTCATGGCAATTATAAAGGGGGATGTTTCTCTGATTTCTTTCCCAGCCCTTTTATTGTCTGTATATAGAAGGGCTATTGATTTTCTTAGTTGATCTTGTATCCCAACACCTTGGTGAAGGTATTTATGAGCGGTAGGTATTCTCTGGTAGAGTATTTTGGATCATTTATGTAAACCATCATATCTTCTGCAAATAGTGAAAGGTGACCACTTCCTTTCCAATTTGTATTTTGTTGATCTCCTTTGGTGGTATTATTGCTCTGGCTAGAACTTCAAGTACAATATGTGTGTGGGTTAATATCAGTGTTATCTGTCTGGTTCCATTAGTCTACATGTCTATTTTTGTGTCTATTTTGAAGAGTTATGGAAAGAGTAGAT